GGACTCTATGTTCAAAATTTGGTCGCGACCCTACACGCCGCATGGCGATCGGCAGCCCAATATAACGAACGCCAGCGTGAAAAGTTCAAGCGACAGTACGATCAATCCCACCTGGCCCCCCTCTCTATCAAACTAGGTGATCGGGTATACCTCCGCGACTTGGCACCCAAAGTGGGCCTCTCTCAAAAACTTTGCTACCCCTGGTTAGGCCAATTCCGTGTCATCAAAGTGGACCCTCCCCACTTAACCATCGTTAGCATTTCTTCGCCCCAATCTTCTCCTAAAAAGGTCCGTATGAACCAGGTGAACCCTGTCAACTTCTATCTGGTCCAGTTTCACCACTCCCCGGATACCTGAAGTCGAGGAGCTGGCTCTCATGGCCGTGGAAGCTTCCGACGAACCTATAGTGGGTCACACCCATACGGTGATTGAGCATTTGGCGCCGGACACCTCGGAAAATTCACCCAATCCGCCAACCCACCCCTATAACAATCGTTTCAGGTCGCGAAGAACTTCACTTTGACCGGTTGGTCAGATACCACGAACATTTCTTTTTTTCTTATGCTTGCTGTTCTCACAGCTCTAACTTTTTCTTTCTTTTCTCCGCTGGTTCGAGGCGAGCTTCTTTGTTTACATGCTACGCCACGCCGATCATGCACCATCAAATGCCATCCATTATCTCGCGTGCTTTGTTTTTCTAGGATGGTACGCCCATTCATGGTGCTTAGCTAACTCTTCACTTTTCGGTTCTTTCATTTTGGAATTCATTCGCACCTCACTTCTCCCTTCTTTTGTTCGCTTTAGATGCTTCCATAAACTTTCCTTTTAAGCTAATCATTTCGTTGCAGTTGGTGTCTATCCATATAATAGTATGAGGTTGCTCTCGTTTTTTACCCTCTTTTATGATTAAATTTCTCGCACGGCGTATTTCCATTTTGCTGCACACGCCCCTCGTTCTCAACGATCGTTTTTTCAGGTAATTGTTGAAACCCGCTTACTGCTTTCTGTGGTTTGTGTCTTGGTAATGGACGACTCATCGTCTCCTCCAGACCCGGGCGCCGCACCGGACGTCGAACGCAGGTATCCTTTGCCTTCTAGTCGCGATGCGGCTGATCCCACGTCTATCTCTTTGAGTCGCGATGCGGCTGTCACCAAGTCTAGTTCTACATCGGCTATAGTCGAGGAAGAGTCCGCGATGGACACCTCCGAGACGGTTGTATCTGGTCCTCCAACGGAGGTTGCCAGTACCACTGTGTCCTCTTCTGTTTCAGGAGCGGTTACAGAGAACACTGTGGCGCAAACTTCCACTTCGGATGCCACCTTTTCAGCGACTTTCGCCGAGATCGCCTCATGTAGTAAGTGGCACTCAGCTGCGTCGTCATCGTTTGCTGCGTCTCAGCGTAAGTTTCACAGCGAGAAGCAGCTTCCGGAATCCAAATCCGGCGAAGACTCGGTGGTATGTATGACCTCATCCATGGGCACCTATCTGTCACGGAGGTGGCTCCCACGGCGCCACAAGCTCCGGCATCGGTCTCCTCCTTTACCACTCCGGCAAAGGTTATGCGCTCTTCTTCTAGTCAGCGCAAGCCAGCTCCGTCTGCCCCTACACAGGTAAGAGGGCGGGGTGCTTCTCGCCAGCTCCAGTCTTCCCGGGGCTCTGAACGAGGCCACGCTCCTACCTCCTCGAGGTCGGTAGCGCCAACTTCGACGGCCTCCTAGCCCACAATTCCAACAGACAAGTGACCATAGTCTACGAGAGTGAAGGAAATTCTTCGCTTTCTTTACAGTTTTCTACAAAACATTCCTCTAAAAATGGAACTGTACGTGAATAGCGGTGCAAAGGCCATGAATAAGGTATTTTGGGGTCACAACTCAGAAGAAAAAAGCTCACCTGCTACCCTATTCCATATAGCATCCTTACGACAAGTGCCGTAGCGTAACCAACAGTGAACGGAAAATGTTCGCTAACCTCTGCACCAGATTTTCTGCACCATCTACCTCCAAAAAATGGTAAATGTTCACATAATAGGCCCACCAATGCCTCGCTTGAGGAAACAACAAATTTCGAGACTGCACATTACACTTGATACAGAGGATGTATATTGAGAGCAAGAGAACCCGTAAGCCGGTAGCGCTTACAAACGAAATGAAGATCTAAGAATTGGAAATAACACTACTAAATTTTCCCTTATCCAACAAAAATTTTGGGTAAAAAAAAAAAAGTGACCTGGGATTGAGTAACGTGCGCATTTTGGGGTAAGTTTTCGAACCTCTCTGTGTGGCGTTAGCACGCATAAGCCTACTTTTTGAGGTGAAATCAAGTGCATGACGCAATCTCGATATGACTTTTCAAATATCAAAGCATACTCTTATAGGCGTCCGACGAAGCGATTCAAGATTTTTTCGGATTCTCGAAAGCTCCAATGAAAACCGATGTTTATAGACGAATCACGATCCACTGATGCCGATTACAGGATATACGCATCAAATCAATTCCTACAATTTGGATTGAATCTGTCAATGGTGCATCTTACCTTCGTTCCTGACATGAGCTCGGAACGTAACCCTGACAAAATCTCGACCTAATGTCATCAGCTGTTATTTCAATGCCTTGGCTGCGCAGTCTCGCGAAGTATGAGTACCGTCAATGCTCGGCATGTTAATCATCTGTAGGACAAACGGTCCAAAAAATCGCGGAGAAAACTAAGTTTCTTCACTGCGCCTCATGATCTGACATGCTCCGCTGCAAAAAATTAGGTAAAATAGCTCTTGCTCGAAAGAATCACAGCCCAACCTGTCCCCAGCCATTATCGTTGAGTTTCGAAAGCGAAAAAAGGCTGTATTTCATGGGGTTAGCCGCCATCTGATATTTGACAACACCACCATCAGCAGAAACGCCTCGACACGCGAATCTCGATTTGGACACATCTTCCTGCAGAGTATAACTTATTCCCGAGTGATGGGCGATTCCATTCTGCCTTCTCCGTAACTTCTACAAATACTCCTTCAAAACTAAGAAATTAACAAAATAGGGTATGAAGTGTGCTTAAAACCAGCCTAACAATTTGGTTCAAATACACTTAAAGCACTTGTATCTCAGCGCAGCGACAATACTGATTCAGTTTACTCAGTACAGTGAAAATCAAGAAACCTGGCATACATCATTAACTTTTCAATCAATCCACTTGATGGGGCGGAAGTGTGCTGCACTCCAGACAGGTGTGAAACGTTTCGTCCATGCGAATAATAGCCTCCATAATCTCGTAACGAGGCGCGCAGCGCATACGTTCCGCCAGTAGCTCTTGAGATAGAACCCTTGATCCATGGCGCATCCCCACGAAATCAAGCTAAATATTACAGCAACCATCTTGTAAGCCTGAAGACTGAGTCAACGTGCTTTTCCATTTTGCGCACTTCAACTCTGACCGACTTATGACGAATTCACGAAATTAAAACGAGGATTCGCGTTATTCGCGTCAATTTTCGATTTTCAAAACGGCCGAGTACTGTATCTTAACTTGTCGAAAGGTCCTTAGCGCATTTTCTTGGTCCATTTTGCAACACATCTTTGGAATCGTTTGAAAACATTCACTGTAAACAACATGTAGAGTGTTATGCTCCTCTTTAACAAAATTACTGAGTGACATTTTCGCCAGTTGAACTTAAACAGTCGTCTTCAACTGAAGTAATGTTTGACTGCTCCTGCCTTTATAAGCCCACAAAGGACAATTCAATTGAAGCGACGCAGTGGGAGGTATAAGTGTTGTGATGGGCCTCCAGACTATCTTTTACAACATGTGATATTTGCTTGCCGAAATCGAACTACTTGAGAAAAAACTCGAATCTAGTCGGCCTGCTACCCTCAGTGACGAGTCTATTCTGAAGTTGATTGGAGGGAGCCCTCGGTAGAACATGGTAACTGGCATAGCTTTTTCAGTGCTACCACAGCACAATCACCGCTTCTCAATTTCGCTCTAAAAAGAAGTGAAATTATGGCGAAAGGATATTTTGCGCTCTGTCCGACCACAGGCTATTATGACGACAATTTTGCATAGGCATTTTGATTTGCCGCCTCTCTCTCTCGCTTGATCCACCCACTTTGTTGGTGGTGAGAAGAAGTGGGAACCTCACATAAACCGCACGCGGAAGCACGGCTGGCTGGGATGCGTAGAAAACAAAGGCAGGTGTGTTACTTGCCAAAAAGGTAATCCTTTACGCGAAATCTGTAAAAGAGAGGATGGCAGTTGGCTTTTCGTGCCTCTCCTGCTCTCTACCTCACTCGAGAAAAACCTAAAGGCAAAGTTCGGGCTCAGACCCACCTTAGAAGCCCTATAGCTAGATGTGTTGGGTGCGCAAGTGCAAAGGTAGCGCCACATTTCTACATCGAAACGCGTCACTAGGACCCTACGCGCCATGGACGTCTAACAGACTCCACAACTTAATCTTGTCCGTCAACCGTTCGATATCTTATCTGTGAGATTCCCTGCACTTCGCGCTGCAAAACGCGAAAAAGTCGCTATCTCTCCTAGTGAGCCACACCAGGGTAGCAGGGCTTTTTATGAACAGTTTTGGGAGAAAATTAGTGTTACATAACGTAATAGGTCATTGATACACAACGTTGTCATCAAGTTCTAGGTGCGCTCAATCTTGGACGCGGTTGCCTGTCTCCATAGCTCATCTGTCTGCGCAGGTTTGCTGAACAACTATCTTCATCATCACGCTACTCTGGAACATTCACGTGAATTAGTTGGTTCTGAGTCTGACTTGTTCCTGATTTAAGCGATTCTTTCCAACGTTTCAACTCTTAAGCCCAAAGTTCAACGATGCGACGTCATGGTACACAATCAATGAACTATTTGTCTTCACCGCCCGCTCAGGATCATTTTGAGCAAGCAGGTCATCGTCTCCGTGCTCCAGTACGCAAACGATTCTGGTATGTATCATCAGGAGCACAAAAAATTTAGCGAACATTGATGGTTTAGCGTAACCACACTATGCAACTTTTTTATGCCACTGATTATGGCAATGGGAGTGAACTATCTATTTCCATATTTTGTCGTTTCAAATGTAGACTACTTGGAGCCCATTATTTCCTGTGCATTTTGCAAAAATGATACACATCAGGCATTCTCCCTTCCAAATTGATCAGTTCTCACCTTGCTTAAGTTATCATTTTGAAGAAGGGATGTTCCTTGCAGATTATTTCTCACCTTGTTTCTCTAAAAGAAGTAATCTGCTCTTCACTTCTTACAGTGCGTAAGGTAGGCCTTCAGGATACATTAAAAGGTTGATTATTTCTTGTCGTAACTATCACACTGAAATTGTCTCACCGAGGCTGCTTGCAGGTGTGAGTTATCTGTGCTTGATTTTGAAATTAGTGGCAAATTCTTCTTAAAAAACAGTGATCCAATCGAATGCATGGATGCCTTACAAACTGATGCGACGAAATTATGGTTCCTAAAGCTCAAGTTCTACATCGCTAGATTTTTGTTCCGCTTAGTTTTTATTCCATGATCTTTGAACAATCACTTGCTTAAATGATACATCTTGAGTCTGTTTATTGTCTCATGAAGTGATAAAATTCTAGTCTGAATCGACGAATAGTCATAGTCAGTCAATTCAATTTGTTTCACTTATGAACATAATGACGATGATCCGCTTGCGTCCTATTGCTCCATGTGTTCCTGAGCGAGCAATGAAGACAAATAGTGCATTGGTTGTGCACCATGACGTCGCATCGTCACACTTTGCGCGTGAGAGCTGAAGGGTTGAAAAGAATTGCTTGAATCAGAATCAAGTCAAACACAGAACCAACTAATTCACGTGAATGCTTCAGAGTAGCGTGATGATGAAGATTCAACAAACCTGCACAGATGAGCTGTAGAGACAGGCAACTGCGGCGAAGGATTGAGCACACCCAGAGCTTGATGACAACGTTGTGTATCAATGACCTATTGCGTTATAACGAAAATCACAACATAAGTATGAACACAAAAAGGCACATAGTTGAAATACAGTGTGAAGAAAAGTCAAAAGGCGGAAAATCCGATTCACCTCCGTTACTGTCGATTACATAAGTAGCTTTCGGCACAAGACGGTTCAAACAGTCAAAGGAAATTGTGTTACCGTAACTGTTGCGGATCGATGAGCACAAGGTGGAAACCCACGTGACCTGAAGAGGAACGCGTGAGCTTTCTAAGCGCAAACCGACACAACTCCAAAAACCCTTGAAGCTAAATGCTTTCTATCAACCTCTTCTTTTCTTGGACATCCAGCCCTGATCGATATGTGAACTATGACCCAGCTTATGGCTAAACCTACTCCACCACCATCCTTTCGACACAATTGGATATCAATGAGCTGTCAAATACCTTCTGAACCAAGGCTTCACTTTCTACAACTAACAACACGCATAAACATTATATCTTTATGGACCACTCATTATTCACCTAACCTCAACTATATTCACACTCAGAACCAACTAATTCACGTGAATGTTTCAGAGTAGCGTGATGATGAAGATAGTTATTCAACAAACCTGCACAGATGAGCTGTAGAGACAGGCAACCGCGGCGAAGAATTGAGCACACCCAGAACTTGATGACAACGTTGTGTATCAATGACCTATTACGTTATGTAACGAAAATCTGAGAGGTTAGTAGAAAGGAGAACTCACGTCGTGTCTCCACCTCGGACCCGTCAGGAGACCAACTGTAGAAGTATTTAAATTTCAGAGGTCCAGAATTTAATGTCCAGGTTAGTTTTGAGGGCCCAAAGCCATGCGGGGCTGCAGTGCGAATGTTGAGAAGAAGACGAGTAGATTGTCCCGTTGAATAGACAAGATTGTTGCCCGGGAGAGATCGTGATGTTGCTGTCAATAGCAGCACCGCACGTTGCCGCGCGATCACGAAGACAGTAGATAGGAGTCATGACGGCAACTCGCCTCGTCCGCAGGCATCGGCGCACCCGGGGATTCCCTTGGAGCAATCCTCGCGATTCGCGACAGTAACCGCAGTTTGTGCACTGGAGCTTTTTACGTCCATGAACAAATTCCTTTTTCATTCTAATAGCGGAGACAATCGCGAATGGGTTTTTTATAAAACGAGGAGAAGAAGTTATTCCGTTCCTAAACAAACTCCTTTTTCATAAACGAAGATAATGGCAAACGGGTTTGTGATGAACGAATATAAGAAGCCAATCACAGTCGTAATTTTCAACTTCAGATTTCGTTGCTAATTTTGTTGTGCCTTCGCCAGCACAGCTCAGTTAATGTCTTTTTTGAGTGCTTTTCGCCCACTACCAATATTCAAGAAGTATTCATTTGAAAAATCTCATCACAAAACGAAACCATTGTTGCAGATCGCATCAGTTATCTACGGTTGACACTTCCCTAAGTCATCGACATCATGAGGAACACAGTTTTTCTGGTCAAAATGTAGCCATGTTAGAGGATAATGAGCTCCCGTCACACTTGAAATTGAACAGAGCTGACTTGAAAATGAATTAGCAACGTATTTTCTTGAGTTTCCGTAGCCTTCGAAGTTTGTCCTCCACAACTATTATTGGGGGTGCGATCTCAAAGGGGATATCTCATTTTAGTTTGTCAGCTACAACGAAGAAATCAGAAATGTTTAATCTCAAGCGAAGCAATGGAACAGTTTTTTCTGAACCTTTGAAAAATTTCGTGGATACTTCTGCTCTTGTATAATTATTTGAAGAGCTCACACTTATGAGACCTGTGTATACCAGACGAGAATATATAGGAAATTTGCGGCCTTGAGCAAAACACCCACATCAACAAGAACCGCAATGCAAACAAATTACATCAAATTCATTCGAATAACTGTATAAGAACGAAGAACGAGAACTATGAAACAAACAAATTATATCAATCAACTCCAAAAACTATATAACAACAATTAACAAGAACTATCAAACAAAGAAACTGCAGATCAACAAAAGCACTACCAACAAAACATAAAGAAGTATCAAATGATTTGTATTAAGCAATGCTACAATGGCAGAGCTTAATAAAAGGAACTAGCGAGAATTATTAGGTTGTCCTGAAATGAATGCGGGTTTCGATGTATCATACTTTATTAGACATTTTTCCAAGAAACTTTCTCTCGTTTGTTGTACCTTTGCACATCATCATATTTCGTTCTCTTTCTTTCACTGCTGCTGTATTTTGAAAGGACTTGGGCCTCACTTTTTTTCAAAGATCTAAATCGAAGAAGTCAAAGCAGCAGTTTGAGCAAGTTCACTTCTATGAGTTGAAATACGAAGAGGATGCTGTGCAGACAGCTCGGAATAGGATTTTCGTGTGGAACTAGAAATGCTGAAATAAATGCGACCGCTCTAATGGCTACAAAGCTTTCAATGTCAGGAGCCCTAGATTCGAAGTGAGGAAGGTTACGGACGCACTCTCTTCTTAAAAGCAGCCTTCTGAGGACCCAGCGGAAGAAGATTGCCAGGGAAGTGTACGACGGCCAGCAGCATAACATTGAGCAAGCGTACCAAAGTTTTCGGAGCGCCTGAAGGTTCTTGGGAAGGTAAAAGAGCTGGACAAGTGGGTAACGCACGAGCTGAGTGAGCAGCAGCAAGGTCACCTTTCAGGGATATTGTCACGACTCTTTTTTCTCATTAAAAATATCCGGCTTTGGAACATTCTGTCATACTCGACGGAAACAGGACCTTTCGCTGAAGAAATAAACAATCTTCTAAAAATCGTAACAGCAACGAACACCAAAATCTTCTTCCAAATAAGAATTTCCACAAGGTGAGGACCACGCTGATGGTTTCGTGGCTTTCCGGGATAATGGTGCATCGCAGTTCTCTGAGTCCAGGTGAGGTTGATGATTACCAGTGCCTGTTCATAACACCGACGTGACGCACCGTAAAGAGCAAAGACTCCATCCATGAGAAGGGCAAGAACCGTTCTCCATTTGACGTCCAGCCACATGTCGCACAAACGACCTCGTAAGAAAAGGACGAAGCAACCTATCTAGTTTTGCTTTTCGCGGTACACTCACTAGACTTCACCCTCATCAACTTCCAGTTTTTCAGCCATATCGACAGCTTCTTGGGCAGAAAAAGATTTGAAAAGAGACACATGGTGGGAATGACCTTCGAGGATACCCGCGCTTCTACGGTTAAGATATTTAGAGCTCGTGCATAAGTTCAGCAAGCTTCTTGTTCAAAAAGAAGCGTAGTTTCCAAAACTGTTTCGAATTTACTGAAAATGTTGAGTTTGAGCTGAGATATATTGCTTCGAAGACGGAGGTCGAAAACCTGCATTGATTTCCGGACAACCTAGTAGCAACAAATCGAAGAACAAACTACAACAGTGGAATAGCTACTGTGCAACGAAAATAAAGTGATTTCCGAACGAAAAGCTCTGGACGACAATTGTCGCGCCCGCACGGACGCCTTGCTCCTCGCATAAGCTAAAAAAGCATTGGGGTCAACCCTGCTTAGGAGCGGCGTCGGTGTCGGCGTGAGGGTTGCTAACGGGAACTTACGCTGAGAGCAGCCTCGACTGTGTGTACGCCACGATTGACTGCTAATCATATCCCAGTGTTGCGCCGCGATGTTACGATTCCCTCATATTATATCCTACGACAGAACGACTAGCTCGCACGGGTATTGCATCAATTATGAAAGTTTCAGTCATGTTAATAGGAAATAGCAAGAAAACTGCTTATGATATACTACACGACAAAAGGTATAAAGCCATAGATTCATGTCACAGTAAACCACGACAGAAAGAAAAACAACAATGTTGACGGCTACTACGACTAGACTAAAATCACGGGGTCGAACCCAGTAGAACTCTTCACGGTTGAGCAATGTGTCCTGGTTCCGATGTCCATCGACGGGCGTCCATGCCCGGATCCACTTGTTAGACGTATGAATAGCTGGAACGTGAAGT